GTTTGTTTGTTTGTTTGTTTGTTTTTGTTTGAGGTGAGCTTCTTGGTAAAAGTTTGATCTGTGGATGGTTCTAAATTCAAAAATTCACCATGACCATGATTAAATGTTGAATTCTGCCTTCGCCGGTGCTTATTGCGTGGACGATAACTTACACTTTCAAGTACCGCTAATAAACAGGCTCAATTAAAACCCAGCCTTTTCAATTTTGTCGTTTTGAACATTCTTTAGGAATTCCGTTTTGTTTTGTTTGGTTTTTTTTGTTTTTTTAATCATTTAACATGGCAACTTATTACACATTCTTTTGATCACATGACTAAATGTGACGATAAAAATCAGGTTACAATTTATATTATAAAGTAAACTCTGGTACGACCAGCGCAGACCAAGATCAGGTCCATACATCTGTGCCATCTGATCAGTGTCAACTGTGCTCGCTTTTCAGTCAGTTAATATTCGCAATTTAGTCAGTAAATATCTTTTCGTTATTCAGTCAGTAAAGATTTTGAATTTTCACTCCCCAAAAAGATGAATGTTTTGTCCAGATTAAAAGACAGACAAGTCCATTTAAGATATTTAGGGGTATAAATATTAAGCTTTATCATTTACTTTTCTGAATCAGAGAGGAAGCAGCTGCCCCCATTGATCTATGCAAAATTTTTACCCTAACTGAATACACACAAAAGGATGGAAAAATATTTACTTAAAAAATTTGCTTTTTTGTTTTCTTTATTTTTAAGCAACTTACGGAACATACATTTTATGATTTTATATGTGTAAAAAAAGTTCTGCCTTAAGGTTATATTTGACACAGAATTGATTACATATACAGGCACATATCTGGTTGCTCTCTCTCTCCCCCCCTCTCTCTCTCTCTCTCTCTCTCTCTCTCTCTCTCTCTCTCCCTCTCCCCCTCTCTTTCTCTCTCTCTCTCTCTCTCTCAAAACATTAACAATAAGAAATAATTAAAAGAAAAGATATTATAAATATTTTGATACACATACAATATAACAACACTTATAATGCTGTGTTTAACACCTTGGAAACTTAGCTAACTGTGTTCATCAGCATTTTATGTGCAAATAAAACAGGTCATATTATTAAAATATATGTATTATAAATGAGTTATAATAAGCTTTTTTATACAACATCATAAAAAATGTAATAGGCATTTTTTTACAAAAAAAATAAACCAACACTATCTTGTGTTCTCATTAAAGATTTTTAGTCAGTTTTTTTCATTAAATGTCTGTTTCTTAATCTGACTTATTCCAGGCATAAAGAGATTAATCAAAAGTTGTTTTTTTTTAATAAAATTTTTACTATCTTAATTCAGCTAAATTAGATACACTTACGTTTGTTTAGTTTTCGCTCTATTTTGCCATCCTTTTATACTGCTTATCACATGGTCATATATACTTGATCTTGTGGCATAATGCCAAGGTACAATCACATGACTCCTGTCACGTGATTTTCTCAATAGATAATTGTGATTATTTTGTTGTTTTGGTAACCTCAGTGAAGTCAAATGAATAACTTAAAATAAAAATAAAAATAAAAAATAAAATTGAAATAATTTGAATACTATTTTTGTGCTTGTTTTTATTAACTGGGTCTGACACTTCAACCTGCTACGAAACTCTAGCCAATTTTGATACTTCAGTTCTCTTTGACCTTTTAGCCTACACCTACCCTGCTACTTCAGCCATCTCTGGCTCTTAGGCCTAAACCTACCCTGAAATTTCAGCCATCCGTAACTCTTTAGCCTACTCCTACACTGCTACTTCAGTCATCTCTGGCTCTTTAGCCTACATCTACCCTGAAATTTCAGCCATCTCTAACTCGTTAGCCTACTCCTACACTGCTACTATAGCCATCTCTGAATCTTTAGCCTAAACCTACCGTGTTACTTTCGCCATCTCTGACTCTTTTCCCTACTCTTACCCTGCTACATCAGTGATGTCTGACTCTTTAACCCACTCTTACCTGCTACTTAAGCCATCCCTGACTCTTTAACCTACTCTTACTCTGCGACATATACATTAGTCATGTCTGACTCTTTAACTTACTCCTACCCCGCTACTTCAGCCACCTCTGACTCTTTATCCTACTCTTACCTGCTACTTCAGCAACCTCTGATTCTTTAACCTACTCTTACCTGCTACTTCAGCCAACCCTGGCTCTTTAAACTACTCCTTACCCTGCTACTTCAACCATCTTTGACTCTTTAACCTACTCTTACCTGCTACTTCAGCCACCCCTGGCTCTTTAACCTACTCCTACCCTACTACTTCAGCCATCTTTGACTCTTTAACATACTCTTACCTGCTACTTCTGCCACCCCTGACTCTTTAAACTACTCCTACCCTGCTACTTCAGCCATCCCTGGCTCTTTAACCTACTCTTACCTGCTACTTCAGCCACCTCTGACTCTTTAACCTACTCCTACCCTGCTACTTCAGCCATCTTTGACTATTTAACCTACTCTTACCTGCTACTTCAGCCACCTCTGACTCTTTAACCTACTCCTACCCTGCTACTTCAACCATTCCTGGCTCTTTAACCTACTCCTGCCCCGCTACTTCAGCTTTCTCTGGCTCTCTAGCTATTTCCCAACTTCAGCCTTTTCTGATTTTAACCTATTCTTACACTTCAGTATATCAGTATATATAATGATAATAAAACATAATAGCAAATCAAAACTCAAACATAACAGACCACTCCTAGTTTTTAATATTATTTCGATATAATATCTAATATTTCACGGTCAGTGTAAAATAATATCTTAACTACGTTTGTAAAGTTAGTGACCTCATCCTTGTTTTGAGATATAACACCGTAGAATGTTACTATGGCAATGTGCAAAGGGCGTGAAAATGGTTATTTTTAAACATTAGTAACAAAAAGTTTATCTCTCCTATCAATTACAAAAGAGTGAAATTATTCGCCTATTCAGTATTCGTTTTGCTTAATTTTCAATTTACCACGCGACTAGTCTTAAATTCTTATCAGTTAAACTGTCCTATGAAAATGTGGCTACGACAATACGGTGTGTGCGCAGAGCGTAACAATTCTGTCATACGATGCCAGGATCGTAATCTTACCTTTATCATTCATTTTCAACCATTTAAATTAACTACAGTTCCGCACCCAGTTTTAATCTTAGTTCTGATTTCAATGTAAATGAAGTGAGTTGGAATATTTTTTTGAATAATATTTTGAAAGTAAATTTATTAATTTAATATTTTGCAAAACGGATTAATATCAGGGACCTGTACTTAAGCATAACAGGTAAGTGCAAAATTATTATTTCGGCGCAATTTTTAGTACGTTTAAAAAAGTCTTACCTCTGCCATTGTTAAGTCTTCAACTAAAGTTTGAAAGACATTGTTTTTTTTTAAATCTCAAACACAATGCGCGTAAACTGTCCGTAGCCAAAATGTCATGGCAACTTTCACCCCCACCCCCACCCCATCATTATTTTTTTTTTCATTATTGTCTCCAATCTTTAGTCCGTTGTTTTGCATTGCTCATTGATTTCAAGCAAATTGAATGGGAAAGTGGTCAATGACATGGAGTGTTCAATTATTTTAAGCAAACTCAAATGAAACAAATTACTTTTATCAGATATGAGTAAATACCGGTAAATTTGCACTTAAAATTGCGATTAACATGATTAAAGGGAGAACAGTGACTAGCCCGCAACGGATTAGTCGTTTTATTTATATTTTACCTAAACATACTTTTAATGTATAATATAATTTCATTCTCCTACTAAATATATAAACCATTATACTTATTCTTTTGCATAACATACAATTATATGTTACTCATTATAACTATAACAATATTAAAAACATGTAATCATGTTCTTTCTCAGTTGCAGCCAAAGAGAAACTTAACAACAGTCATGAATTCAACTCAATTTCAAATCATTCCGAACTTGTTAATACCAACACCATTAGCATACGAACAGTAGTTTTACCTTTAGTTTCAATACAACGATATTACAAGGTCAACAGTCTGCAAAAACTGCTACTTCAGCCACCCCTGGCTCTTTAAACTACTCCTACCCTGTTACTTCAGCCATCTTTGACTCTTTAACATACTCTTACCTGCTACTTCTGCCACCCCTGACTCTTTAAACTACTCCTTCCCTGCTACTTCAACCATCCCTGGCTCTTTAACCTACTCTTACCTGCTACTTCAGCCACCTCTGACTCTTTACCCTACTCCTACCCTACTACTTCAGCCATCTCTGACTCTTTAACCTACTCTTACCTACTACTTAAGCCACCTCTGACTCTTTAATCTACTCCTACCCTACTACTTCAGCCATCTCTGACTCTTTAACCTACTCTTACCTGCTACTTCAGCCACCTCTGACTCTTTAACCTACTCCTACCCTGCTACTTCAGCCATCTTTGACTATTTAACCTACTCTTACCTGCTACTTCAGCCACCTCTGACTCTTTAACCTACTCCTACCCTGCTACTTCAACCATCCCTGGCTCTTTAACCTACTCCTGCCCCGCTACTTCAGCTTTCTCTGGCTCTCTAGCTATTTCCCAACTTCAGCCTTTTCTGATTTTAACCTATTCTTACACTTCAGTATATCAGTTTATATATAATGATAATAAAACATAATAGCAAATCAAAACTCAAACATTACAGAACACTCCTAGTTTTTAATATTATTTCGATATAATATCTAATATTTCACTGTCAGTGTAAAATAATATCTTAACTACGTTTATAAAGTTAGTGACCTCATCCTTGTTTTGAGATATGACACCGTAGAATGTTACTATGGCAATGTGCACAGGGCGTGAAAATGGTTATTTTTAAACATTAGTAACAAAAAGTTTATCTCTCCTATCAATTACAAAAGAGTGAAATTATTCGCCTATTCAGTATTCGTTTTGCTTAATTTTCAATTTACCACGCGACTAGTCTTAAATTCTTATCAGTTAAACTGTCCTAAAAAAATGTGGCTACGACAATACGGTGTGTGCGCAGAGCGTAACAATTCTGTCATACGATGCCAGGATCGTAATCTTACCTTTATCATTCATTTTCAACCATTTAAATTAACTACAGTTCCGCACCCAGTTTTAATCTTAGTTCTGATTTCAATGTAAATGAAGTGAGTTGGAATATTTTTTAAATAATATTTTGAAAGTGAATTTATTAATTTAATATTTTGCAAAACGGATTAATATCAGGGACCTGTACTTAAGCATAACAGGTAAGTGCAAAATTATTATTTCGGCGCAATTTTTACTACGTTTAAAAAAGTCTTACCTCTGCCATTGTTAAGTCTTCAACTAAAGTTTGAAAGACATTGTTTTTTTTTTTAATCTCAAACACAATGCGCGTAAACCGTCCGTAGCCAAAATGTCATGGCAACTTTCACCCCCACCCCCACCCCATCATTATTTTTTTTTCATTATTGTCTCCAATCTTTAGTCCGTTGTTTTGCATTGCTCATTGATTTCAAGCAAATTGAATGGGAAAGTGGTCAATGACATGGAGTGTTCAATTATTTTAAGCAAACTCAAATGAAACAAATTACTTTTATCAGATATGAGTAAATACCGGTAAATTTGCACTTAAAATTGCGATTAAAGGGAGAACAGTGACTAGCCCGCAACGGATTAGTCGTTTTATTTATATTTTACCTAAACATACTTTTAATGTATAATATAATTTCATTCTCCTACTAAATATATAAACCATCATACTTATTCTTTTGCATAACATACAATTATATGTTACTCATTATAACTATAACAATATTAAAAACATGTAATCATGTTCTTTCTCAGTTGCAGCCAAAGAGAAACTTAACAACAGTCATGAATTCAACTCAATTTCAAATCATTCCGAACTTGTTAATACCAACGCCATTAGCATACGAGCAGTAGTTTTACCTTTAGTTTCAATACAACGATATTACAAGGTCAACAGTCTGCAAAAACTTCAACTTTTGAATCAACATAGCCTAAAATTTTCATGCTAATAAATCTCAGAAGGTAAGCATTTAGTCTTAATGTGTGTGCGCGTGTAAGTGTTGGTGCGTGCGTGCGGGCGGGCGGGCGTGCGTGCGTGCGTGCGTGTGTGTGTGTGTGTGTGCGTGCGTGACATTTAGATAGATAGCGCTCAAATTCCCGATTTATAATTTATATAGATAATGTCAAAATAATCGTACGGTTTTACTGGAGATATATTCTTTATAAACGAGTTTAAGTCTTCCTACAGCGATACACCGAAGTGTATCATATTTCAACAAGTTTAAGACACTGAAACACCATCAAATAATGCATGTGTGTTAAATCATATGTTTTAAAATTGTGTGCTTTTGTAAAAAATGTTAAAATGTAACCTTTCTAATAAACTTTATCATTAAACTGTGATAAAAATTTTATTATAATAATACATAATTTGTGCAATTTCCTGGGAGCACATTCAATTGTTTGCTCTAGTATAGAGATGACAGTAAATATAGAGTATTGTACAGAAATTTTACAAGTTAAATGTTGATGCTGCATATCAAAGACGCCGCCAAATGATGCGAACAGTCACAGGTAATGATCAAAATCTGAATTGAAAATCGTTCTCTATTACAGTTGAATATCCGAAGCACTTATCACTTTTTTCTCCATGTCAAGGTGAAAGAGAACAATCGTCAGTCACAGAATCCTTCAAAATAACCTATTGCAAATATTTGTGATTCATTTATAATAAACGTACTTTTTTCAATCAGTTAATCTGTTTTATAACTTAAATGTTAATTATTTTCATGAATTACATGTCGAACACGTTTTGCCTGTTTTTCAAAAAATATTCCCGCTGTGTCCGTATCGCCAATAAAATCTCCGTTGCGTATTTTAATGATACCTCTTGTTCCCTGCCCGAATTTGTTTCCCGTCATTAGACTAAAACGATCGACTTTAGACTGGCTCATTGGCACGTTATTTTATAAGGTAGATAAAATTAGATAATTATAAAAAGAAAATGATATTCAAACATGGCATTATCACTTCAGTTAAACGTTTATTCTAATCCCTTAAAGCTGTGTACATCAGAAAAGCTATTTTTATAAGAAAATTTGAAAACAATGTGATTTTGTTAAACCAAGAAGAAAATTGCACAAAATCAAGTCTAAAATGTTCCCCAAATGCATATCTACTAGACGCCGTCTAATGAACAGTTTATATATAATCCTGTTTAAATTTCTACATTTAAATATGCGAGTTTTTTGAGTGATTTTACATCAATTTAGGAGAGACACACTGATAGTGTATAACGTTTATTTTTTGCTGAGAAGAGAATGTGTTGTTTTGAAGGAAGTTTTGTGATTTGCTGAAGTTGGTTGAATGTTATTGTGGTCATCTTAATTGATCAGGGTTTATTTGTTGTAATTAGTTGGTAGAACCCGGCGTATATAAAATCGTCCATTCTTTGGTTGTCCTAAATGTTTGAGTCTTTTCACCGTACTGCCGGAAGCTAGTGGAATAATACCTGGCCCTAACTGCGTTCTTCGGGAGGGTAAACAAATGTTCATAGCTGATTTTGTTTCAATCTTCTTACGAAATTGGTCCATAGTTTCGTCTGTACTCATTGATGTCAAATATTCAATGCTCTAAACAAAGTATTGAGCAAATGTTATACTGTACTTTCTGTGACGGATACTTTCAATTAATTTCATCATCATCGACGTCGTCGTCGCCGTCCTCGCTGCTGTCGTCGTTTTGCTGATTTCGCAGTCATCTTTATTATCTTGTTTTTTCTCAGTAACGTATTCATGCAGAAAAGATTCGACATAATGTCTATATTTGGACAATGACAAACGAACCGCTCGTTTAAGATTCAATTCTTGCTTCAGATATTTTTCTACAGATTTTATAATTTTACTGTGAATGTAACCCTCTCTCACTTTAAATATATACTCGTAGGAAATGAATATAGATCGGATGTACATTGTCATTGCCCGGATTATAGCCTCAACCCTTCTCACATCCGGCATATTGCCTACATTTTGACATGACCACAACTGAAATTTTAAATTTTATTTCGGCAATGGTACGAACCACCTGCAGTCAACCTACAACAACTGGAACAAGTTCTGCATCAAGAATGGCATAATTTACTTCAAAATCGCAATTGACGCCCTTACTGGTAGTATGAAGAGAAGGTTCGAGGTTATCATCTGGACACGTGGCGATTACACTAGTTACATTATGTCATTTTAGGTTACAAAATCGTCAACATTTAACAAAATTTTCCGCCAATAAACGTTTTGTAAACGCACAAACACCATACTTATAAACACTCACATTTTTGTTAAGAACAACACATCTGCTTATGCTTCAATAATGTGGTTAAGAATTATTTACTCTGACAAATTTACCGGTTTATGATTACTAATTTGGGATTGCTACTTATCACATTACTATTTCTTGTCATCTCATGACAGTGCTTTCAATTAAAACCGGGGTGTGCTTAACTTATTTCCAGGTGTATATATAATAACTTATAGTCGTATGGGTCTCTTTTATTTTCAAATTCACATAAAGTCAATCTATCCTCTGTAAAACCACAAAGATTACAGTTATCTATTTTGTTGTCATGTCTAGTAGACCTTTGCCAAATTATTCAAATCAAGAACTCTGAAACAAAGCCTAAATCTTACAAGGTTAATGGCGCTGCCTAAAAACTTGCCCACATTTTTAAAATCATGACTTAATTCGGGCCAAGGTTACTTAAATTTACATAGACATATCTATATATACATTATTTATATATATTCCATGGTAGGATACTACATCATCGCGCACCTGGAAAATGTTCCCAATCGGGCTGTTTTTCTTCTTTGTACTTAAAACAAAATCTGTTAAATTATATTGGATTCCAAGTCATGTAGGTATACAAGGAAATGACAAAGTAAATGCTTTAGCTAGACAATCATTAAATATTCAACAAACTGACTTATTGATGCCCGCTTGTGATTTTAGACCGGCTATAAACAAACTAATATCATCTGAATGGAAAGCAAATCGGGACAATGCCGTTTTTAATAAACTTAACGATATAAACCAATCGCTTGATGCGTCACCATCTCTATCTCTGTCAAACCGCCATGATCAAAGAGTTCTTCTTCGATGCCGAATTGGACACACTAAAATTACCCACTCTTATCTCCTCGCGAATGACAATGCCCCTTTCTGTGTAGCTTGTTATAAAAATTTTACTGTCAACCATTTTCTTCTTGAATGTCATGATTTTCACAGGCCCGTAATAGATTTATCGTGTAAACTCACTCAAAGAACTTTTTAATACAATGCCATAAAAAAACATCATAATTGATTATTTGAAACAGATATACTTGTACTCAATGATCTAATTGAGTCATTTTCATTGTCATTTACAAAACATTACATAACATTTAAAGCATATTATAGCATTCGGCACGATATGGCCAGTTATGTGTTGACGTGCCGTAAAAATCCAAACAAACAAACTAACAAAATTGTCCACTCGAAGTTGAAATATATTTCTATTCTAAGAAATCGTTAGAATATCAATAAATAATGTAGCACACCAAAGATTCGCTTAAGTACTTGATATTTCTTTTTTAAAAAAGAAGAAACTTTTAAAGTTTAATTGTTTGGTTTGAGCCTGAAAATGGGATAAAATTTGTAACGGAGTCCTTTCTGGAGCATATAGAAGAAAACAAGCTTCATCCCATTTTCAGGAAGTCCTAAACTATGCGGGAAAACTATAAACGTTATGGACTAAAAGACAATATTTGGTGCACTACATTATCTTTTGATATTCTAACTATTTAAAAGCACAAAAACATATTTTACCTTCGAGTTGATGGGATGTTTACAAAACAAAATCGTGTTGCAGGTGCGTGATGACGTAGTATCCTACCATTGATATTACATTTTCATTTTTCAAAGTCCCCTTCTCTGAAATCAGAATGTTACTTTCTCTAATAGTCTTCTACAAAGTGATACCAAATTGAAGGTAAAACTTAGTCCCGTCTCCTTGGTAATAATTGTATTTTAGAAAGAAACCATGATGAAAAAATCTCTACAAAGCTCCCGCTCGACTGCAAAATAAAGCTGAACCTCTGCATCTGGGATCATTCTAAAGTTCAGAAACTTTAATTACATAAAAAACAACAAGCATTCAAAGAACAGTGTATTTTAACACTTTTTTCTTCGTAGCTGGTCGTTCGTGAAGTCCGATTCTCTCTTTGGCGTTTTCATGGTATAGGCTATACATCAACATCATTATCCTCTAAAATATTGTTTAATTTTCAGATGACGTACGTCGTTGATTGAGCATGGTCACGAATTAGTCACAAATCGACGAGGAGCGTCCGTGCATGGTCGCGTGGTTTCTTCAGTGTTGCTGCGACGTAAACAAATAACAAATAAAAATAATAAATAAATAAAATCGAAAAGCTAGGAATAACGCTTACATCTGGTCAATGAAACAACTTGTTTAACCGACATATCATTATTTAGTTTATTTACTTTTATTGAGATATGAGGAGAAAATAATATGTAAAGAGGAGCAAATGCTATAAAAACAAGTTAACTGTGTATAATGAATTTATAGAATGAATGTAAAATCGAAAAGATATTTGACACGCTGATGTTAAAGTGCAATTAATGGAAATTTCAAAAGCATACGTCTTCCTTCTCACTATAACATTCGTTTTAATATTTATAACTTGTTTGCTTACAAAACTTGGTGCTCGTCATGGGACATTTCTCAATTATAATTCAAAAACGAAAAATCAAAGTGTTGGATTATTGGAAAATAAAAAAGAAGCGAAAAAAAGAATTACAACTGAAGCAGAGAAAAACGGAACGTGCGAGGTTTGTTCTTTCTGAATATAGTTCAAAATATATACTAGTGTTTTAAATTGAATATTAATTGCGAATGTTGAGATCTGATTTTCACGTACCTTTACCCTAATTCATAAACAAAATTATTAAATTAAATTAAATCCTATTCAAAGTTTTATGTAAGTTTAGTTTTAGTACCTTATATAAATCTCAGATTTAAAACAATGCATTTCTACCCGCTCCCCTGCTATGCTAAAAAGCTAGAACTCTCGATCTTCGGGCGATATAAAATTTATCTATGACAGTTGTTCCCGTACATTGGTCTTACTGCCTGGTCTGAAGTCTCTTAGAAATCATATGAGATATGACCACAAACCGTACAAGCTATCGTGTACAATGTAACATCAACAGGACTAGGAATATGTTCAGTATATTTCTACATAAATTAGACCACAATAATACATGTAATTATTTAAACTCCAATTGTCAGTATGGTCTGCACGACGCACGTCGATGTGAAAGTTCGTTACATCGTTGACATTGTGACAACCTTTGACCAAATAAGCATCATGTGTTGAAGATGACTATCTATTTCCCTATTCTAAAATGTACAAAATATATCACGTTACTTCTGTGAACTGCGTTGGGTATTAAAGCCAAAAGTGATGTCATATTTAATAAGGGCTTATTTTTCCACAGTAACTTTTTTTTATTCCATTATTTTTATGTGATAAAGTGTAGAGCCATCTCACTCGATCATATGTGTTAATCACACATTGAATTGCTGTTTGGGGGAAAATCAATATTTTGTGGTAAAATGAAATAGTTGTCCGAACAAGCGGTTATACTTGAAAAAATACTGATTTTTGCCCAAATTAAAGTATAACTCAAATTTATTTAGATTATTCCCTTGAATGAGCAGGCTCTACATTTGATCCTATTAAAATACTAAATATAAAAAAGTTATGAATGAAAGCTTACCTTACCGACTTTTGTATTAGCTTTCTGTCCAACACAAATCACAAAGTATAACGTTGATATTTTGTACAAAAAATCCTTAAACATGTAACTGTATTTTACATATAAAAAGACTGAAAGATAGACAGAGGATGCAATATAGAAATATACATATGTCTTCTTGAAGAAACGGAATCTTTTTGGATCCATACATTAAATATTATGATCCCAAATGGCCTTTATAATAAGGTATTGTTTGATTTTTAGAACAAATTTCTTTTATTTTTCAGTTTTGTTTCAAACGTGTTCCAAATCTGATTGTACAGTATGGCAAACCTCGTACAGCGACAACGTTACAATTTTATTTATTGTGTTTAATGATGGCTTTTCTACATGAGGATGAGAAGAATTCTGTGGGTTGTTATTATAATAAGTTTGAAACAAACAATAAGTATACAGTTATAAAAGTACACAGCATACCCGATAAATGTTTGTCTTTCATACCAACTGGTTCTTGGGTTTTTATGACTTCCAAAGGTCCATTGACAAAGCCAGAACAAGACCAAGTGAGAAAACTAAAACAAAAGCGTATAGCTATTCCATATATTGCAGATGTTAATCTTGTCTCAAAAGGAAGTCATTTTATCGCATATGAATATCAAAAATTCTTTGGTTTATCAGATGAAAATATGACACATGTCGTGGAATATTTGCGATACTGGGATATTCTTCGGGTTTGTTGTGGATTACAAATGTCAGCGGATTGGCGAAATCATCTAGCACCTGAGAAACATTACAGGAATCACCACGACCCTCACAGTCTATCATACCCTGCTTGTGAAATGTATAATATAAGTAATGTTGAAGTCCTGCTTCTTAAAACACATGCGTACAAGACATTTTCCAATCATTCTTTATTGAAGAACTTTCTTGGAAAACCGTCTCTAATTGACGGAAATTTGGATGGGAGCTATTGCAAACGTTGCAATGCCAATATTTCCAAAAATAAATTGCACATGAACGAAAGATGTACATAACTATTTTTGTCAAAAGTGGATTCATGTAATTTCTGTTCTTAAACAAATTATTACAACGATATTGTTTGAAGTTGGAAAGCGAGTTGTGAGAGATATAGAAAGTTATTTTTTAAACCCTTGAGCAGACATCGACCTGGAATCGGGTAATATACAGAACGAGATAACAGGATATTAATCAAATAAAGTGGAATTTTACTGAAACATATATCACTGAATAGTTATCATAGAAGCAATACATGTATACGGTTCAGCGAGTTGACCTATGACTCTTTTTTTTTAAAACCGTAATAAGATAACCAAAAATATAAAACAAAATAATTAAGAAAAAATGGCATTTCTAACAACTAGTTGGCCTTTTAGTAAGACTGGTGTCCTATTTACATGTATGAGATTGATGAAAAACCAAAGTTATACCAAACCAAAGAAAAACAAAATGTTATACTTTTTTTTACCTATTGGGCTAAATTCGACGTGTCATGTCTATACTTGAGGAAATCAGTCACTTAACAATCAAACAAGATTAACCGTGATTTTTGTTGCCGAATTGTGGACAATTTAAAAAACGTCACATAGAAAGTATCGTGCTCTTCGCTTAACGATTCTGTGGATACTTTTTTAAAAAAATTCTGTTTGAACCGCTAATGAATTTTTCAAATGTATTTGCATAAACCGGTGCTAGTATGCGTGTACAGTTGCTTGCATTAATTGTTAACGCCCCTGAATAAACTTAATCTAATTATTCAAATTTATCATAAGGGAGATAAACATTTGTAGAAAATTTACAAGATTTATACTTTCATAACATACGATGTGTCTATGAAACGTTGACGTTGTATCGACAGTATTGTGCCCCTTGTAAGCTGAAAGATGAACAGACCGTTGGTCACTGACCTATTCATCCTTGTTTTGTTGTTGTTGTTAATTTTGCTTTTGTTTGTTTTTTATTCGTGTAAATAGTAGGATTGTTTATAATACACGGTATATTAAGCGTTGATAAATTTTTTTTTGGTCCTCCGGGATCATTGATTCTAAAACATTAAGTGTTTTAAAGATTGAGCTCCGCTCAAGTCGGTGCTAGGTGGCGTGAGGGATGTTGCAGTTTTAGCTCACATGTCACAAAGTGAAATGATGAGCTTTTGTGATCGGTTTTCGTCCGTCCATTATTACTTGTTTCTTGTCATGGAAAGCTTTATATTAAGGAGAGCGATTTCAGGGCCATCATGTACATACTCAATGATACTGTGCAATTTTTATGTCATGCTATTGATTTGCGAGGTATCACTTTATCAGATATTTAGACAAGAAGTGATACATATGTATATTGTATCATAGTTTGGAGACCTTTCTGTTGAAAATGTGTCAGGGTTAAACCGTATACATATACATGCACAGTGCGTTAACTGGAGTGCGGGTATTAGTTACCCGCACTCCAGAGCATGCCCATTGATTGGCTCATTTTTGCTGGGGTTTACATATTGTGACGGAAGAGAAAGAGAAAGCAACAGAAATATCATATTCAGATGTTCGTTCATTGGTTCATTTTTCCCGGGTTTTCATACATAA